TGTATTTACAGGCAGTGCCTGACAGCCTCATAAGGCTGTATCACCCATGAATGAAAGTTTGGGGAAAAAGCTAGTTCATCTGAATAGTAATGTGTGTCATGTATCTGGTTGGTTAGCAGAAAGTCAGCAAATACAGTGTAACGGTAATGTTTTGTAATGAAGCAATGCTTCAGTAACTATACCAGCTGGTAAGACATTTTTACAGGAAAATAACCTCGTAGAAGAAATATAAAAAAGATAAAATCAAATAATGTTGAGATCCAGGACTCATGCTAGGCAATGTAACGTGAACAAATAGCACTTTAAATTGCTGTATTTTTTAATAGTTCCACCTTATAAGTTCTGTCACTCCTAGCCACAATGACAAAATAACTTGCTGGTTTCAGAATTACACTATAAATTAAATATTGCCATGGCGTTCTGTCTCACAAATACTCTTATGAACGAATCTCTTAAAGGAAGCATTAACTACTTCTTACTTTTAATAGGTTGAGCCTGCTTCCCTGTATTATGCACACTGCTGAATGGAGGAAGGGGGCAGAAGTCAGTCTTTACCGATACTCTTTCCGTTACCATCCTGCATGGTTCTTTACCCATGTTTTGCAGGGTGGTGAAGAATTAGGAGAAGCTGCAGTTATTCAGCTGAGTGGAACTAAATGGGTGGCTTCCCTCTGGACCCTCACTTCACTGTCTTAGGTAAGAGGGGTGACCTGCTTCTTTTGAAGCAACTTGCATTTCCTTAGAACAGAGGTACATGTGTTTTTAGAGGAACTGCTAGTTATCAAAGCAGAGATTTGGACTCTTGGTTTGTGTTTTTTGGTTTTTGTAATCTGGTGTCTTGAAAAGGATATTCAGCATATGTACCTGTTCAAGAGCTTTCATCAGAAAGCATTAGTGTTTGCACCCATCCAAATAGCTTTGAAAACATGCTCGATGTTCACGTGCTTGTCTTACGTAGTATATCAATAAGTGAGACTGTACCAGAGGTGAATTACAGCGGTGATGTTTTAGCATTACACAATGATGTACCGGTTGGCTGCTTGATATTGAGGGTGCTAATTTTTTATGTTCAATCCTTGTGTGACATAGTTTCAAAGCTGTGGCCTAAGTAACTAAACAACACAAATTTTAAGTGTCTCAGACTGTAAGGTACAGTATCTCAGTTTGAAACCCAATGGAAATTTTGGCTTGGCAGGCCTTGCACCAACTGGTGGGATCACAAGCACGAAATTATGGAACTCGTATTTGGGTTTGGTGGTTGTTGCATAATTGCCTGGCAGTGATTAGTCCACATGGATTGCTTTTCATTCTGATGTCCTGTGAGGGCGATGGCAGGGCTTCTACTGTCTTGACCAAGCTTGAATAATAGAGGTGAAGCTAGTTCTTCATCTCTCCTTCATAGAGGAGACCACACTCTTACTCCCTTTGGTGGACCCCTTTTTGGACTTGTTGATAGTTCCTTGATAATTGTCACACCAAAGAAATTGGTAACATGAGGAAATTAGAATGACAGACACCTCGTCTCTCTTACCTTTAGGAGCTGCGTGCAGGGTGGCACAAGAGCTATCTGTAACACGTTGCCAAGCTTGTGCTGTGCTGAGAGATGCAAGACTTGTCCAGGCAGCCAGTCTCTGGCACTACTTGTGTACTCCTGCTCTGGTATGCTCTGTGCGACCCAGGCTGGAGCAGCTGCACTTCAGCAGGCTTGTAGTGTTAGAGGGTGATGGAGTGGCTCTTAAAGGAGCTGAGCTTCTACAACAGGCTGCGGGTCAAAATATTTCAGGAAATGCTACCATAGTTGTAGATGAGTTTTGCTTTTGCATTATGGTTAGTAATGTGTTTGAACTGATTAATGCTTAAAATATTTTTATTTTTACAGTACAATATTTTTCATTTTCTTAAAAGGTATCAAACACTTTTACAAAGTTAGATAATACCGAAGAGGTCTATCACTACTTCAGAATTTCTATTCCCAATATGATGTTTTCCGTCTTTCTTATTTGTATAGCCATATTCAGATAATGGTTACTTTTTATTTCATAGTGAAATCTCATGTCCAAAGTCTTGGGATGAATATTGTGGTTTAATATGTGTGTGTACCCTATTTTATTTTTAGAAAGTCCAAGGTATATTAGCATACACTGGCTGCAGTAGCAGCACCTAGAGGTGTTTCAGCTGTTGTAGCAATATTTGTCTATTGTGGGCCATAGAAATACACGCTTATATTCCACAGAATCTGCAAGTCCCATGAGAATTCAAGGACATAGGAGCTCTTAAGTGTATGTATCACTTCTGTGAAATACTGGGATTTCTTGGTTGCAAATGTTGAGCCCTTTACATTGCAAGGTGGTGATAAATACTGTTTGCATGGTTCTTATGACTTGAATATCTTATTGAAAGAAGGATGTTTGTGAATACTTGAGAGTTTTTATTTGGCTAACGTTGTTGTATTAAGAATGCCAGTCATGGAAGAAAATTATTCTTGTTTGAACTTACATATTTGAAACTGTGTGAGAGAATCTATAATACTAGGTAAAATACCTACCCTTTTCTTTAGGATAATGCTTTCAGAATTTTTTCTTCTGCTCCTGTCTTGTGACAGTTATTGCAAAAAAAAAAAAAAAAAAAAGGAAAACTTAATTTAAGCACCTGACAGAGGTGACTTCATGATGTCTTTTATCACGCCAGACATGAGTTGCAAAGTATTTTTTGTAATCTATAATTCATTTCTTAAATATTTTGCAGTTCTATACTCTACAGTTTGGTTAATTCAGCAGTTTACAGTCTCTGTTAATATAATTTAGCGTGCCGTAAAGTCTCTTTTTCTTATTGAAAATTGTAAAAAAGCAACTCTTTTGGCTCTATTCATGTGACAGATAAAGATTTCTTTATGTTGAGTAGAAGCAATAGTGTTAGCCACGCAAATGGTAAATGTGATTAAAAGCATCTTTTTTTAGGCAGATGTGGCTTAATGCTAATTAATAAGTATACCAAAGGTGAATGTTGAAGCACATCTGAATTAATGAAATTATTTTCTTAGACAAGCATTATAAATTCCATGTTTCATTTTGTTGATCATGTAGCCTTTGCACAATTTTTTTTAGTAGACTGCTGAACTCTTGCTCTGCCTTGGTGGTAGCTGCTAGGGGGAGATTGAGGATGGAGAACTGGAAGTGCAGGTGCTTCAGTTTTTTGTACTGTTGAAGTTATGTATCTAGCAGCGGAAGAGCAAATGTTATTGATCAAATCCTCTGTCTCCATCTCCTTTACTGTGGTCTTGTTTCTTCTGTGAATTGTACTGTCTTAAGCTACATAGCTTCAGTTATGTTGGGAACCTTTTTCTTTTCTGCTGTTGCTGGGCAATAGTCATAAGGCCCCTGATAGATGTATTTGTGATACTTCTTCATGCTGTACTTTGCTGTGTTTGTGCTCTGTGCAGACCAAAAGTTGGTGCTTTTGTACCTTAGAGGAGAATGGGTGAATTTTATACAGATGCTATTGTGTGTACATGAACAAATATATACATTGGAGTATATAAGCTGGAAGTTCCGTGATAAAGGTGTGAAAATATTGGTCATATTTGTCAGAATACTTTTAACTGGGTTTGCCTAATGGTGTTACTGTGAATTATTCTTCAATAGAATATAAGGTAGGTATTCTGGATTTCTGCTGTTGGTATGGAGTGGCAGTGCCACCTCCAAACAGGAAAATCATCAGTTACTGTTTCATACTGTTCAGATAAATTTGGTTTTTTGCTTCTGAATGTTAGTAAAGTTTTATTGACACAGTTGCGTAACATTAACTTATCCTAATTGTACATAAATCCACATAATTATCATAATTGTTTGTTGAAATAGCAATCTTGTTTCATGAAACAGGTAGGGTGCCCTATTTAACTTTTTAATTTAAATATAAAAAACTGTGTGCAAACTGTTAGTGCTGTAGAGCATAACTGGCACGACTGTGTCAGTCCAGGATCACACTTTTTCACATCCCTGATACAGAATTGGGCCTTTGGTACTGGATGGGTTCTCTGTTGTTTGACTTCTTTAAGACAAACCTGAATGTACTCTTCAGATATCAGATCAGGGTTTCCTTTGTGGAAGCTCCAATCTATATCAGAGATCAGCCTAAATTAGCTGCATTGGATTTTTTTGTTTGTAATAGAGTTTTAGAACCAAGAAATAAAGTATTAAATCTTCGTGGTACTGAAAATGTGATACTGTGCCAAATGAGTAACTTTCTGGAAAGTAATTACTAGATTTCTTTAGTTATATGCCTGTTTCTGTCACTTTTTTTTTTTCCCCTGAAATTGGTTGTGCTTTTTGTTGAAAATGTTTGGAATATGTTTTAGTCATGAGTCCCATGTTAATTATGGCTTTACTGAAAACGAACAATTTATAGAAAAGCTTATCAAACTCCAGCAGTTTTGTGCGATGTGCAGCCAGGACAAAGATGCAGTTCTGTCTGTGACTTCTTTTGAGTGTTGTTTTTATTTTATTTATTATTATTGTAAATACCAATTTATTTATTTTTTTTAAAAGGAGGGGTGGGGAGGGGGAAGAAGCCTTGCCAGAATCTTCCAGAAGGAGGAAATGGGTATTTTTAATGAACTGGATGAACAGAATTGTAAAACGTTGTTGTATCGCTAGAGAGGAAAGAATAGGGAATGTTGTGTGTATGTGCTTTCTGCTTTTGTAGTTTCCCTACCATACTAAGCATTTTCTGTTGCATTTTTTATGGAAAGTATGATTTAGTTTGGGAAGTCATATGATTGAGTGTTAGGTAGTTCCACAAGGAGTAGGGAGTTGGACCCGATGATCCTTATGGGTCCCTTCCAATTTGAGATATTCTATGATTCTAAGTATAAGTTTCCTCTAATTGCAAACTTGTGACTAATTGAATGGCCATTCTTGAATGTATTGTTTTGAAGTTGTATTGAGCTTCAGATTGGTATGGAGCATAGTGCAAAAACTGAAATGTAATGTTTTGCATTATAGGTGCAAGAACTGTAGAAGTCCATTTTAGAATTTGAAAGAACAAGTTTCTGCAGCTCTGGAAAGATATGGTATGTTTATCTTTTCACGTATCATGTGTATGCTAATAATTATAATAAATAATTATACTTTTGTTCCCTGATTTTAAAAAAAAAGTTGAAAATGGATTCAGGAAGAAACACACGTGTTCATTTTTCCCATATTTTTTTGACTGTAATGTCTGTTACTTAGATATAGTTTTCTAGGAAACGGAGTTATTTGATTTTTCTTGGAGAAAATAAATACTGAAGATACAGCATTGATGAATTCCCTTTTAATTTGTTTTATGAGCTCAGCATCATTTCTTTCTCCATGGATTGGATAAGAATTGGTGCTGTTTCTGAAAGTTGGTGGGTTGGGTTTTTTTTCTTCCTGCTGGGCATATTTATAGTGAGGCGTGTGCAGTTTTTAGGTATAACTTGAAAAATAAGTTCAGAACTACTAGAAAACTTAAGGAAACATCAGTGAAAGTCAAATTTGCATTGGAATGTTAGGAAATATAGAAATGTAACCTTCATTAGCAGTGTTAACATGAGCCCATGGCACGTGGTATTTCTTTTTGTTTAGGCTCTTAAATGTCCAGCCAGCTTAAAAATATGTACATGTATTACAGCAAGGTTGGAACCTTAACTTGTAGTTATTTTAATTTCCATTTTCTAACTTTATTCTGGTGTAGTACTGTGGAGACACCTGGTAGTATGGAATAACTGTGAACCACTCTTCTGTAGTTCTGCAACTTGGTACATACAGAATTTTTGAAACTTCTTGCGTTGCTGCATTCAGAAAAACAATTATTGTTTAAGTTCATTTTTCTACCATATTAGATCTGTTAATGCATATATAAAATTGTATGTAGTTACTTCAACTGCTTCTAAGCCATGTGTGTACTTTTTTTTCTAACCACTTAAAATGTGAGGAAGAACTCAGTAACTGCCGATACAAATTTTGTACACTGTGTGCTTATATCTGATTTTTTTTTTAAGATGCTTAACATAAGAACATATTTAAAGTTTTGAAATCTCAACCTTGCAGAAGGGTCACTGGGTGTCTTTTTTTTCTTTCTTAAGTTCTATTCACAGGAAGCTATAGACAAGAGCTAAAATGATTAATTCTAAGCTGAAACTTCAAATATAGTGTGTGCTAATTAAAAACTGTAAACCTCTTAAAAAGCTACAATGTTACATTATCACAATCCAGATGTTCCTGAGAGAATTGTATAGATTGGTCCTTTACTCTAGCAGGCATCTGGCAGGTAGTGTATATTCATTTTTGCACCCACAGCACCACTGGGACCACCCACTTGCTTCTTGCTCTCCAGTTTCAATACCAGTTGTGTGTATGATGGCTCTTCTTCAAACCGAAGCTATTACTTCTTTATTGCCCTTATTACTGCTGGCTGCTTTTTTCTGAATGTTTAACTGCTTGCCACTGTATGTATGCATAGAATCTTTGTAATGGTATGCACTTCATAAATTGATGAGGAATTTCCCTTTAATCCCCCACAACTTGCAATGAATACTAATGGAACATCAGAAAAGCTGAATGTTATGCTACAGAATTGCATGATTGCTTGATCTTAATATATAAACTGTATATAAACAAATGTGCTGGTGACACTGAAGAACTTGGTGAACAGAAAGGTACTTTACACGGAAGGCTGCATGAAAGATGAGTGGCAAAAGAAAGCAAAATAACAAAGCATAAGGACAGATGGAATAAAAATGTAAATGTTAAAGCTGAAGTGAAGCTGTAAAACTTACCTGTTTGGAAAATAACTTAACTTGATACCTAGCCAGTAAAATGAGAGCTATTAAAAGAAATTTAAATAGATGATTGGATTTCACCTCATGAATGGAAAGCCTGTCCTACATCAGAACTATATCATTTTGGAGGGAGCCTGAAGTAGCAGGCGTAACCGAGATAGAAACAAATGGTTCTGCTGCAAAAAATAAGGAGTGTGTGTATTGGAAGAAAAATCAGCTGTGGTCTAAGTGAAAAATGCAGAAGCTAAAGATAATTTCAGGTCTTTCTCTCTTTTACAAAGGTGAATAAAGTATATCTATGATCTTACTGGAATATCGAACCAAAAACAAATGTTGAAGGGAAAATCTAGTTGTAGAAAATGAGAATAATGCACAGGCCTTTAGCTTTGGGCCGGGGGAAGGAATGGGAGCAAACACTAGACCTTTTTTTGTTACTGGGTGATTTGTGGAGTATTGACATCAAGGCAAGGCAAATATACAGATATTATAGGATGAAGCTTTTGTATAAATCTATAGTAGATCTCTGTGTATTGAGATGCACCAAATTCTACCTTTATTAACCTCAGTAACTTGTTTTTTTACTGAAGTGTAAATTTCAGAATGGCACCAGCTTTAATTTGAAGATAGTAGCAAATTCAGATCCCACCACAAATAATTTATTCAAGTGTTAATTGTCCTCGCTATCCTGCATGCTTGTGTTCCTACTCTAATTTGAACTTGTCAACCTTCAGTTTCTACTCATGTGGAGTTTTATATCCTTTCTTTTAATTGGAAGATCTTTTCTTATGTATTCTTTCTGTGCTATTAGAGGACTTAGTTACTTCCAGTATCCATTTTGATCAGGTTGATTAACTTTGAACTCTTTCCATTATCTAATCACAAGGCACTTTCTCTTATCTTCATGCTGTCTTTGTGACTTTGGCTACTTCTGGAACACTTTTGAAGAATATTGAATAATTGGAGAACTGTGCTCAAGTTTTTAACATGTCTGAAGTACAGATGTACAGATACCTGTACAGATGAGCAGACACCTTTCCAGGAACCCTTCATAAGTGATATTTGTCGTCGTTGCTGTAATACTGGGAGCATGTGTGTGTTTGCTCATCAGTTGTGACTGCCTTAGTCTCTTTAGGTTGGCATTTTCCAGAGTAGAACCCAATTCTTTTGGTCTTCGATGTAATTTTGTATTTGTTGTTATTAGTTGAAGGGTTTAGTTTACCAGGCAGTGGAAAAAAAAAATCATATAGATGTCTTACTACTGTTCTTTTGCAGCTCCATTAGGATTTATGCAATCAGGTTTTATTAGTGGCTGTTTTATTTTACTTTAGGATTATTGTTAATTTGACCTGCTGTTAGTTGCACGAAGAAAACTTCTGGAATCTTGCGTCTTTCCATGTTTTCTGTGTTGGAAGCAGCATGCAGGCAATAAAAGCAATTGATGTTTCCAATCTTATCAAGAAATTAAATCTCAAACATGCCTATTACACTATTCTCTTTTTTTTTCCTGCAAGTGACAGTTAATATTGAACTTAGGGACTTGGTGAATGTTCCACAATTTCCTTCAGGACACTTGAATCAATCTCAAGTTAAAAAAGGCCTGCTTTCCTATTAGTTGTCACTTCCTTTTTTTGAAGTAGTAAGCTAGCTAGAGCAGTTCTGAGGGCACGTTTTGCTGCATAGGTGATGGCTGTCCATTTAATCATGGTACTAAAGTCATTCTGGAAATGTATCAAATTAAGGGATTCTTCAGAAAACATACCAAAGCTATCTTTAGTGGTGTCTTCTTGAGATGGTTATTTGTAATTAAGCAATGCAAATTCTGGCACTGGAAAGTAAGGAAGATCATAGTACTTCTTTGTACAGGTGAATCACCCCTGTTTTCATTAGATCATCTGTCAAAAAGAGAATTTAAGTGTGGATCGAAGATTACTTGGCTGGATACTTAAATTTTTACAAATGCCACTTCCCAGGGCACCCATCCTTCAATAAGGCCAATAAGAAGTCATGGTTTAAAGAAAAGTGTTCTTCCTCTGAGGGATCTTCTTAGACCTCAGATACTGGGTGTCAGCTGCCAGGTTGCTGTGCTGTCCGAGAAAGTGAATATCAAATAACACGGGGAAAGTAATAAGTATAGGAAATCCATGTAAGTGACAACTTTAAGTGATTTGTAGCTGGAAGTTTTTTGGCTTTAACTTTGACTGCTGACGAATAGGTACTTACATTCTCCATGGCGTGGCTTTAGCTTCTGTTTATTGAAGCTGTGGGCCTCTTCTTGGCTCATGTTTGTGATTCCAGACTTTCAAGATTAAATGAAATATGCAAAGAGAAGATCTCAGGCTATGCAACACAGTTGCTTTTAGCCTCTTTTGATGCATCTGAACTTGATTTCTGACTTCTTGCTCTTTCACTCATTTATTATTTATTTCCTTCCTGGTTTTGAGTTGATAAGAACATTCTTTTCAGAAAATCTCCACTTCTGCCACCTTGGAGAAACGGGTGTTATCTCAAACTACTACATAAACGTTATTTATCCTGTTCCCTCTTGATGAGGGCTACTCCATGCCACACAAGATTCTTTAGATATATATGGTTTGAAGGCCTGGATCTTGTGTATTGTCTTTCTAATTATAATAGGGGTTGTTGTAGTCCTGGTTGAATCTACCCCTTGTAAATAGTTACTAGGCAGATGCAGATGTGTCTGTACTGGAGCCTGCCCAGTCACAAAGAGCTTAGCAGCCATCTCAGATTTCTCGGACATACTCCACAGGCACAAACTTCATGTGATACCTTCAGCTGCTCTGTATGTCTGTGAAAGCCTAAACTAAGCCATGCTAATCATGACAGTGAAGACCAGAGAAATCTGTTTGAGTAATAAGAATAAATATCTGCTTTGGGGCTGCTGTTCCTACCTTCTAAAAGGTAAGTTACATCCAGAGGATTTTTTTGTAAAGGAATTCCTGTGACAGAAAAGCAGTTGATTTAGGTTAGTTTCCTATTCTTCATAATGCCCTTTCCCAAGATTTTAGTCTGTTCATCAGTGTGATTTCCCTTCCCTGATCAAGTAGTGTTCTTTAACTCTCTTACCAGTGGGGCTGTGTTTTCTGCCTTGTTTGGATCCAGCAGTCAAAATGTCATTTGTTCAAACTAGATTCAGAATAAGGAATCTCTGATGGCAGTGTCCTTCACCACCTACCCCATGTTTCAGCATGCTGGTCTCTTTGCCAGCAGACAGTACTCTGCTGATGCATGAATGAGTAAGGTCTTAGAAAAATGAATTCTTTCATCTGTGCTAGGGAATCCTTGCCAATCATACTCTTGTCCCACAGGAGTGGCAGCAAGGATAGGTGGGGAAGGTACGACGAGAAGGAGATACAAGAAATGTTAATGAATCATTTTCCCTTCTATCTGGACTGTTGAAAAGTAGCATGAGATTTTTAGACTCCAGTACAGTAAGTCTAGTTTTAAGGTAACTAGTAACAGATTAGAAATGCTGCAGCTACCTGATTCAAAGATCTGAGCCATGATAAATTCAATTCGTAGATACAAACTTCACTACGAAACTTAGATGGGTTAACTTTGGCTTGGTGAGATTCATGCCAGTTTGGATACTGCCTCTCTTCACAGAGCTGCTGTAGATACTATGTTCGGTGGTGTGGTAAATCTGACTAACAGCATTGGATCTGTGTTGGGCCTGGGCACAAACTTTTCTTGGCCATGACTGTGGAGCTGCTACCTTAGTGCATATTCTTTTAACATTCCAAAATCTGTTGGTTTTTGCATCCGGCACCAACACTTTGTGTGTTCTTTCACTGTTGACAATCGTGTTCATGACTTCTCCCATATGAAACAGCCTTCAGGAAAACCTTGTTTTACTAGGGTTGCCGTCAGCCTGTTATTCTTCCATTTGAATGGAAGACTGCTGTAGTTAGCTTTTGCACATGGTCTGGGTGATACAGGACACAAGTCTAGGTAGGGCCTGATTGATCTGGCACACTCCAGAACGTGAGCTGGTACTGCCAACAGTCAGAATGCGAGTTTCCTAACGAGTGAGGCATTAGAGATTACACCACTGTCCTCTTTGACCAGCATACTAAAAGTTACTTGGGCAAAGAGCTAGAAGGGGTTTTAATTTCTAAATGCATTTTTACAGACCCATTTCACATCAGTTCAGAAAGCAGCAGGAATTTTAATTTTAGAAGAAAGCGCTGCCTTAGACTAGGCATTTGTTTCTTTAAAGCTAAGGCTTGCCTGAAAGTGGACATTGTCAGGTCTTAAACAATCAGAATGCCATAAGCAGTGTTTTAAGGCTTCTTAGTTTTGTATCGGCATCTTCGTTTTTGCTGTTTGCTTTTCTGTACAGCTGATGGTCAGCAAACATTAATTTGAAAATCTTTACCCTGTCTGCCATTTAATGTTGACAGATGAGGAACCTTTCCAACTGACTTTTATTCATTGTACTGTGTTCCTGGCATTGACTCAGTTAAACTTTGACAATTTACACCAGTAAAACATAGGTACTAGAGAATCTGTTTTGGTTTGGAGGTGTTGGGTAGCCTGCTTCTTTTTTTACTTGTCACCTGCACTTGTGTTTAGATGAAACAACTCGAATATTACTGACGTTAAAATAATGAAATGACACTTTTCCTACCTCAAGGAATGTACCCCGTAAAACTAATAAGCATCATTCCGAAACTAATACAAATTTTATTCTGTTGCAGAGTTTGTAGCAGAATGGCAAATTGTAGCAGAATGGCAAAAGTCAGCAGCTTTTCTGACAAACTTTAGAAAATCATGGACTTTGTTTACTGATCAGTGATTTCATTTGTATCTCTTGGCTTGTCAGAGATATGAGCATTGAGAATGCTTGATTGGTCACAAAACCTAAGATCTTACTGAAAGACTCTTGTAATAGGTTGGACTGAAGCACAAAAGCTTTCTTTACTGAAAGGTTTAAAGCTGTCTGATGTGCTCTCAGTGTTTGCACCAGATCATTATGTCTTCAAGTGTTGCAGAGAGCTGCGGGTGTGCCCTTGATAGCTCACTAGCATTTGTGCACCTTGCTTCTGTATGAGGCTTCTGCTGCATGGCCCCCTACAAATATGGGGTTTCATCTGGGTTAGAGCCACAGGAATAAACTCAGATACTGTACAGAGGTCTGTCTTCATAGCTACTGACTGTTTAGAGAAGGATGACTTTTTATTTACTAAATACAGTAATAACACTTCAATTTTAATCAAAACTTTATATTAACAGAAAGTGAGTAACACTGTGATCTGACTCTCTATCAGAGGCCTTCTTTCTTTACAGTCTTTGTCTAGTGCACCTAGGAGCTTGGGTGGGAGAGAGAATGGGGTGAATTGAGTGTTGAGGGTTATGTTTGGAAGTACTTTTATCAGTTAACTTTAGTTTAGAGTAGATAATAGCAGTAGGTAAGAGACTAACTGGTTCCTTTTCAGCCATGGAAGTAATCAGCTGGGGTGGTCCCAGGGCGCTCTGGGCACGAGTATTGCTGAGTGATCATTGGCTGCCACCTGCGTGACAAAGTAAAGGACCAACCCTTCAATTTATACCGGTGGAGCCAGATCACGGGAAACAATTGACAGGTAAAAAACACTTTTGAAAATTTAAGGGAGAGGAGAGAGTACATGTGGCGTAAATGGACCAAAGAATCTAAAAGATTGGCCACAGGTAGCAAAGGTTGCTCCTCTGGAACTTTTACATAGCTTTAGCTTGTTTCATTTTGGGGAGAGGCACACAGCAAAGCACAAGTTACGTGTTGGTCCCGTGGGAACACCAAGCCTCATTAGGAACCAGTATTAATTGAGTTGCAGCAGGAAAACAACTAACAGAATTTTATTGTAGTTAGAAATTACAGTTCGTATTTATGCACATGCTTCCAAATCTTTGAGTGCTTGTTGTCTTGACGTGGGGTGCTTTCCACTGGTCCAAGAGATGGGGTTTTGTTTTGGTTTTTTCCAGAGAGGCTAAAAGTAAGTTGATGAATCTTCAAGTTCACCAGTTGAGTGTACTCTAGTGAGTTACTCTAGAAGTCTTAGAATGCCATTCAAAAATGAACTAATTTTTGTGCAGTAGGTCTTAGTCGTGCAGATAAAAACCATAAACCAGAAGAAAAATATTGATGCTAAGCATTGTTTTATTTAGTGGACTGACTGCAAATAGTTTGTAAGGACTTTTAACTAAATTATTTTTACTTATTTAGAGTTGTTAAGCTTATGCTTAGCCCAGCGTGATACAGGACTGGTGTGACAACTCGTTTTTAATCAGTGACTCAAAATTGTGATCACCCCGATGTCACCGAATGGCCACAGCTTGTAAAAGGTAAGCATAAACCATATGTATTGTTTCTCAGCATCATTTTAAGTATAATGTTTATTTTAAGTGTTCCATTTGTATGACTTGAAGTTAGTTTTATAGATAGTATTAAGGTATATTGTTTGTTTAAGAGAAGTCAACTGGCAAAGTTGACTTACCCTCTTGCTTAGAGTGATTTCAAAGCTCACTTATCTTGTCCCTGTTTGCTAAATATGAGCACTGTGGTGCTCCGTGGTATCCCTCTTAAGAGCAATACTATAATTTAAAAGTCTCTGGCTTTTACTGTTAATACTGAAATACTGGATAAATTGTTTAGCATACTTATTTAAGCATTTTATTCAATTTTTTTTAAAGTATTTGTCCAGGATGCTTGATGATGATAAAATTTGTGGGTTTGAATACCTTTGCTTTTCTCTCCTAGGGAGGTACAGTGGAGGTAAAAAAAGTGGCTTGCAGAATGGAAAAGTTGCTCCCTGTGTTATTGGAAGTGAGCCACCTTTTGAATTTGCTAGCTCATACTGCAGTATTCAGTTTAATTGGTGTCTTGTGATCAGTATCTACGATCTAATTCAAAGCTGAAATTTGTAAGAGCATTTGCTCTGAAACTTTCTCTGAACAGAACTCTTGTTTCAGATTTTAAGCATGATGAAATGATGTCTTGCCATACTATATAGTTGTTTTTCAGTACTGTTGCTTGCTCAGAGGAATAACAAGTTACCTTGTTTGTAAACAGTTGAGTATTGCAGAATAAATAGCTTCTCAACAAACAACTACAATTCCTGTCATTAGATTGATCTTCCATGTTGTTTTAATGAGTACTGAAAGCTCATTTTATTTGGTCCTTACAGTGTCATTTGAAACCTTTTAAAATCTGGTTAACAAGTGCATTAATAGTTCTGCAAATCATAGTTATGGTAGGTCTGCTCATGTTAGAGAAAACAATAGCTGAAGGAATTTGATCCCTGTTTTCTGTAGAACCACTTAACTTCAGAGGGCCAAACCTTTTTTTGAATCAGCTAGTTTTTATTTTTTCTGAACTTTCCTGAAACTTTGTCTTCTCTTATGTTGTTTGTCTTATAGAAGAAACCTTTTTTGAAGGTTTGAACAGAATAGTATGTACTGAACTGTACTGTCTATTCAAAGCCCAGATAAAACTGACAAATGATAAGAATAGGAAAAGATTTTGGATATACTGCTAGCTGTGTTTACATGTCTGTACTGCAAATCACAAGGCTATCTTTTTTTACATGCTAAATTTAGATGCTAACTGCTCTTTTTCTGTGATTTTTCATGCTGCTGTGTATTTTAAAGGCTCATAGTGATTAATACTCTTGATGTTTTTGTTTTAACACCACTATTTCACTTGTATTTTTATAGCAACTTAAAGCACTACTCTTACCCAAAGCTTCATTGTGTTGTATTTCCTATGACTAAAAGATAGCAACTGCCTCAAAATACCAAGCCCTTTGCTATCAGTTCCTGAAGTCCTGGATGTGAATAGAGGAGCTAGCCAGTATGAATATAAACGCTCTTCTTTCCACTGCTCCTCACGTTGTACAGCTTCTAGCGCTTACATGCTTAGATGAATAATTAGAAAAAAAAAATAATTGAGGTACTTTGCTGAGTGTTTAGTGACTTGTTCTTGCCACTGGAGTTGAAGGGAAATAAAATTTTGATTTGTTTTGCTGTTGAGTGTTGTTTTTGTCAGCAACTATCTCATCAGTCCTGAACTTTAATGAGTAAAGGAAACATCATTTGGAAGGAATAGAGACCAAATTTTGAGATTGACCAGTTGTTATTTTCCAGTTAGAGGGTATTTGCATTTTAAGCATGAGTATAAAGTTAGTTAGATAGTAAGTTCAGAATTGTCCCTAGTGTCAGTTGAATTTTATAACTTAGAGGAATATAAACAAATGACTTCCTGTGTTCTGCATCATCTGTCACTGCATAGTATCCAGCCAGCCTAGGAATTTTAAGTTGTCTGCCAGAAATGCTTTCTAAGTACTGAGTCTGTTAATATAGTACAGTTTGGTAAAATCCAGAAAGTTGCTAAGATCTGGTGTGTCAGTAAAGGACCTAAGATTTTACTCAAGAATTCGGAGAACAGTCTAGGCTTTAATAGGAGGGACCATCCAGTAAGGTAGAACAATGAAACGTAGGAAAAAATGGAATGTTTCAGGCTACAGGTGGAGATTTCCGGTAGTGTTTAGAATAGCATACATAGTCACATAGTAAATAGGAATGGAATTTCTCTATAAACAAAGATTTTTCCCAGTAAAGCTATGGCAAAGCCTGCTTAGCTGTGCTAACTGAAGTCCCCTAGCAAACTGTTGAAACCTACAAAGTGAGGTTTATTTGCAGATTTTAGCTCACTTCTGTTTTGAGAAAGCTCTGTCATGAAAGACATTTTTGTTCATGTAAGCTACAGAGTTTTACTGTAATAGCTGTGCTGTATTTGCACTCCTCATGCAAGATAGCCAGCGTGGCAGTTCTGGTCAGCTGTACCAAAAGCTATACCCAAGTGAAGGTTGGATGAGGTTCTTCAGGATATGATTTCAAGGCAGCTTAAGGTGATTGAAGTCAAAACTGCTGCATTTGTACTCCTTTGTGTCCTGGCTTGTCTGGCTGCAAACTCACTGGGTAGGGGGAAGTCCTGCAGGGAGGAAAAAAAATAACCTGTCTGAAAAAAAAAAAACCAAAACCTTGAATGTTAACTTCTTGAATCAGTGCTGGCATAAAGATGATGACAAGAATAGGGAGGGGCTAAACAGCTATAATTTAGCCTACTTAAGTTAATATGGAACCATACCCCTAAATTACTCTGTAAATTAAGTCAAGGAGGTTAGCAAGCTGAACACAGGTGCTGCTTGTGTGTTCAAAAATGCCAGGCGATAACACCTAATACTGAATAATGCTGGCTCACCTGGTGGCTGGAAGGAAGAAACTGAAAGCTGCCTGTGAGATTACATCCATAAGTTCAAGCAGAGAGAGACATGAAATTTGTTTGAGATTCTGCTGAGACCTGCTTCGGAGTTGCTGCTTCGTGGAGTCCAACTCTGTAGAGAATCTGTAGTAGTTGGTCACTGATGAACTTTGAGTATACGTTTTGGTTACAGAAGTGGTTATGAAGAGTTAGCCTAGAACTGGTGCGCTATGCAACCTGAATACAGAAGTACTGCCAGCAGAACTCCTCTAATGGCTGCTGTTGCGTAAGCTATGGGGGGAAAAGGGCTGTCCTCCTTAGAGAAATTTGGCTTAATTATATTGTCAAGTTTTATGTTATAAACTGTCTTCTAGACTTCAGTCAAATTAAATGTGCAAGTGCATAAAAGTTGATGCTTTTAGTGGCAATAATATGTTATCATCACTTTCCACCTTTCCTAACTCTTCATGTAAAGATTTAAAATAACAAACAGTGCTTAAGGTTGTTTATCTGTATTTGTAGATCACCAGGAGAACCTCACTCTGAAAACGTTGAAGCTAGCCGAATGTAAGTAAATGAGTGGATGGATTTGGTATATCTTGTTTAAAAAAATTTTTAACATATGTAACAGTTACTCTTGTACCTGCTTAAAAAAAGATGACAAAAGCTGAGTAGGACTGTGGATTTACCATGGAAAATTTCAAGTTAGTATTTTGCTGTGGAAAAATAGAAATCATTTTAAGCCTCTCTAGAAACTGTAGTGAGGTGGGTTTTTTTTGAGAGTGAATGGGTTGAAGGGAAAGTTCAGAGGTTCAATTTAACGTGAACCAGTAGATGGTAGCATAATACAGTGTCAGAAAACTTCAGGCCTATGTTCTGACTTGACAGTAGGGGTGTAATTTCTACCTGCTATTCACTAACATCTTGCATGGGTTTGAAGACACTTCAGTACTAAGGCACAATACCTGCTAATATCTGTTGTGGCAGATGGATTGCTGAACTAAGAAGAAAAAAAAAAAAGCCTAACTTAATTTGGGAAATGTATATACTAGTTACTTTTATAAACAGCAAACTAGCTTTCTTTCACTAAACAGTATTCATGTAGCATCTTACAGTTCTGAACCTTGTATTGGTCTGTCTTCATTAACCTAGAAGCCAAGATTAACTAGAAGCAAGATTGTGATAGGCTGAAATGTTAATTTCAAATTCAAAAGGGTTGAAGGAAAGAGAGGACCATTTTAAGAAAAGGAAAAAGTTATTTGAGACTCTATTCTTTTCTGAGTTGGCAAACAAAGATTCTTTTCTAGCTATTCAAACTCTCCTGTCCTAGAACTCAAATAGGGAAACCACAAACTCTGCTTTTCTGGCTTACAGCACAAGCTCCAAAATAATAGAGGGGTGTAGCCCAGTGGTTGGGGTACTGTCTGAGGCTTCAATAGATTTCTTTTCTGCTACAGGCTTCTTCTGTGACAAACCATCTCCTCCACACCCTCCCCCCAAGTGGTCTAGCTTTTTACGCACTGTGGGCTGATGGCCAGCTTTGGGATGTTTTGCAGGCTAGGGACATAGTGTGAATTGCTCAAGGACTTCTCTTCTGTAGCTGCCCAGCTTGGGGAGGAGCAAAGCTGAGGTGAGCCCCTCCACAGTGGACTGCACACTTAACCTTCAAAGTGATGAGAAGGAAACGAGGAACGCTTTTCCCATGTGTTTTTAGCAATTCATTGCAGTGAAATCTTGCACTACGAGGAGCATTTCTCCTGGGACGACAAATTTGCTTTTCTCTCTCATGCCATCTGTTACAGAAGTGCTGTCTAGCTACTTTCTTAGGAGTACAGGTTGCAGGGATCCAGGCTTGAGAGGTGACTGGCTGTTGCCACATGGACACGTGTTAGATGTTGCAGGGCGAAAACCCTGCCATAGCCTCTTCTGGTCCAGTAGCAGCCCTTGCTGCATTTTGGTTTATTGTTCCTGCAGCAAGTTGAGTTGTGTTCTTTTGTTTCCCTGGCCTAGCCAAACAGGGGGAATCGGGCTGTAGCCTGGCTGTAGTCCACTCTGGATATTGTCAGTTGAACTATTGCTTTGCACGTTGTAAGGAAAGATGTGTCAGAAACCAGGATCTTGACTGGTGTGAAACAGACACTCTATAGGGACCTATGATAAATCCAAAGGAAAAGGCAGTACAACTATTTTTCCTTCTAGCAGTTTGACAATTCTTGTGTGTGTTTTATCCTTCTTAAAACTGAACCTGACAAAATAATCTACAGTAGCAAGCTTTTCTGTATGAAGGTTGTATTATTTTTTTTTGGTGCAGAATGATCAGTGTTGCCCTGACTATGTAGATTTAGGGTATCTGTCTAAAATAGATGTAAGCCAGTCAAGCTGTAGGGATTCATATATTTGCTTGAGTAGTAGTTATATGGTAGTAATGGATGATATACTTACATTACAAAACTAAATTTTTTAAAACTGTATCACTGTGTGACATCACATGTTACAGAGCATTTCTGCAGTCCTGCTGCATAGTTGCTCTTGCCACATGGGGTGGAATGGCAGGCTGGGTAATACAATGTGACCTGGTAAGCCTACTGTGTAGCTAAAATAGTTGCTATGTTATTTACCTGCCTGTAATTCATTAGTAAATGCAAGGACTTAACGCAAGGGTTTTGCTATTTGCACAATGAATGGTTAAGTTGTTTTTGCTCTGGTTGGCTAATATAATTGCTTTATTTGTTTCTGTGTTTAGCTTTATACCAAGAGCATAGTCACATGTGTTTTGCATGTGTGAATTTAAACAAAAACAAAATTTACTGACTCTTTCAGACTCTTAGGGAGCAAATTCTTCCATGGATAAGTCTTGCTTATCCCAAGCTTTTCAAATTCTGGCTCTATGCATGATGAACATCTTGGTGCTACTAGCTCAGACTTAGGAGTCTCTTTTCCTTAGCTTTCATTGAAATCTTTGAATTTTTAAGATCGGTATCTTCTACTGTCTGCTCCTGTCACAGATCTGCATTAATTTTCAGCTTTGATTAGTATAACTTTTTTAAAACCTCTTTAGCACTGAATTATGTTTTTGTTTACTTTAATTTCTTAATCAGTTCATTTATTTTCACTCTGTATATTGTATGTTGTCAAATATCAAGGCAAAGATTTGTGTATTTTGATACAACGGCTTTCTCTGCATTCATCTTTTCTTCTGTCTGTTTTTAAGGATGGGGTGCTTTGCAATTTTTATGCTTTTCTCTTTTTAAAGTCATTGAACACACCTCCATTTAAAGTGGTGTTACAGTTATAGTTGATGTATAGTCATCTGACATTGGAGTAGACTTGGTAGGTGATTTCTTTCCCTTGAAAGAACAGCAGAGTAAAAATTCTGCAGTGGCCTGAAAATATGCCAGAAAAACAAATTACAACCATTGCAAATATATACAGTAACTTTATAAGTATTAGTGTTTCACAATATATACTTTCAGATGCTATCCTGGTGCTGTCTAAACATAGAATGCCTTAAATTACTTTTCTCATAGCTAAAAACACAGGCGGGTTTGTCTAACGTAACAGTGGGACATGCTGATCATGGCCTCTCTATCAAACCTAGCTACACATAGGTATTTCTGTGGCATTTGCTGCTTGTTTTATTGCCATTCTTGGAAGGAAAAGATGTAAATAGTATCTTTATATGCATCTACAGCTTTGCACTATGTTATACTGTGATCTGTCTAGGATGAATTAAAAAATTTCTTCTTGGAGCCTCTTGCAATGCATCATTTAGCCAGGCAGTGATTGCCTTGACAAAACTTCATCAGTTAATAAGACTGCATTGACTGTACTCAAGAATTACTACTTTCTTAAATTTAGCAACTACTTAAGTTACAATTGTCTGTTTTACCTTTGCTTCCAAGAGCAAAAGTGCAGTAAGATAAGTTGACCTAATTTTATAATGAATTGAAAGAAAAGGAATTCCACATTTTACACTAGAAAATATAACTGAAGCAAATGTATTATAAACCTTCACTCCCATGGAGCTTGTAGGATGACATTAATTTACCAGTTGTTTAAAAAAAAAAAAAAAAAAGAAGAAGAAAGCTTAAAGAGGAGGTATTTCTCTCTGGAGCTGTGTAATCTACAAATGCTAGACTATTCTTGAACTGGAAACTCAGGTGTTTAAGACTTAAGATCCATGTTATTTGCACTTAGTTTCTGTGTGATCATGGTCATCCTTCTAGGACAGCGTCATGCAGAATGAAGGCATAGTAAAAGAATGCTACCATAGAAACCTAACTTCAAAGAAATGTTCTGGAATTTTTAATAACTTGAAAACAGAGTTGTGTGATTGTCCCTCTCCTGTACTTAGCCACCTTTGTTCAAGTTGTACAAGGAGAGTACAAGGTTGATCAGCATTTAGGTCTTTTCTCTGCAGGTCAGTCTTACATGTCACAATGGTCAGTCCTCTTGTATCAGTGTTTTTGTCTGAAATAGTTTGTCTCTTATACTTTCTACTGAGAAGCCCCACTGTATCTTTTGATGTCTCACTGCAGTGCTAGTATTAATCTCCTTTCTTTGGGCTGCTGATCAGAATACAGTGTACCAATTTCATACTTGACAAATTGAAGCTTGTTCAGTAAAGTACAAGGTGAAGTTTAATTGTACTTGCTTGAGTGGCAGGACTTCTTTAACCAAGGGAAACCAACATGGAAGGTACTAAAGAATATGCATTTTTCCTAGTATTTTAAAAATATTGATTATTTGTTTTGTCCTGAATATGAGAGACAGACTGAAGAATTCCTGCAAGTATACGACGTTACTGTCATTTCATTTCCTTCCAATAAAGACAAAGTTGGTCTTAATTCTGTCCTCATAGCCAGTACAGAGTATCAGAGTTTAGGACTCCTTACTTGATAATTTCAAACAAAATTTGAAGAACTGTTGAAATGTTGTGTGGTTAGATGTGATTATTCTTTGGAAGGTGAACAGCTGATAACAATTGTGTAATTTTTTCTTTAAAATATTAAGAATAACAATTTTTTTCAAAGAGTAAGATTTTGTAAGTTTATAGTCAGTCCTAAACTTATTACTAAGTTCACAGCAGTAATTCAAGTTACTTTTTCTTTATAGTTAACATAAATTTATGGGCTTTTTTATGAAGGCTGTATTTCACCCTGTGTTTTCAAAAAACACTGATTCTGTGAACGTGAGCATAGTATTTAAAACAGTCGAGTATGCCTACAGTCATTACCATTTACATATGTTGATTGCTTACAATAATTGCCTAAATTGTTTCCCCATAATCAGTTATTTAATGGCTTCAGGCCTGTAATGTTTGGGGGGGGGGGGGGGGGGATTTTTCTTGAAATTGCTTGGGTTGAAAAGCCAGGTTATAATTGATGCATTATTCACCTCTCAATTTTTTGGCTAATTGAATGTTGGAGGGATCACATAGATGACAGGGCACTGCACGCCTTCTTAAGAAGGACAGATAGAAACCAGGGGATGAAACCAGTTGGTCTGTGGAATGACGTTATCTCTGTAGAGTCCTGGAGTTAATAACCTGAAGAGGAAGGGGCAGT